TATGTTACTCTTATATCCATCAAGATTCCAAAATACAAAGTTTATCAAGAAACCACACTAGAAGACAACTGAAACAACAGGAACTCGGTAGAATATCACTATGTGAAAAGCTTTCAGAGTAAAGAAAGATAAAAGAATCAATTCTTCATAATCATAATTATAACATGATCTTACCATGCAGACTTTTAATGCAAGTAGTGCTAGTTTCAACAGACTTGAAAGTTTCCCACTCCAACTGCCCTGTTGGGATGCCACTTGTAGACTCTTTCTATAACACATCTCTGCAGCACCCATCATTCCTTGGGACTGATACACATGTGCCAACCACTAAGGAACAAAAAGGGAGAAGGATGTAGAGGATTTTAGTTTAGGACACTCTGTTATTCTACTTTCAACAAGTTCAATAAACTTTGATGAAGTTAGAAATTTTATTTAATTATTGGTAAGTTCTGTGCCCCCAAAAAATTACAGGTCAAAAAAGTGATAGTCATATTGCCCATTCTATTAGCAACAGCTTACTAGCTATACCTAGTCTGAAGTCTAAAAGTTGCCCAAGGTGGCAAGTTAGAAACAAAATCAAAATGCAACTTGAAAACAAACACATTGTGTAAATATTAACCAAAAGAATGTTTGTGTGGCTACATTAATAACAAAGTAGACTTTAAGACAAGAAACATTAAGAGATAAAGTGGGATGTTTCATAACGATAAAAGAGCCCATTAAATAGGAAGATATAAACATTCCTACATTTGTATATAACAACATATAATTTATGAAACAAAAATTGACAGAAATGAAAGCAGACATATCCATAATTAGTTTTTTAACATGCTTATCTCAGCAATAATACAAGAGACAAAAAAAATCAGTAAGAACACAGAAAATTTAAACATCATTTAACCAGTCTGATTTAAATGATATATAGAGACTATATTCAGTAATTGCAGAACATACATTCTTTGCAAATGCACACACGTTTACCAAATTTGACCACATGTTGGATCATAAAACAAATCTCAATAAATTTCAGTGGACTGAAATCATCTGAAGTAAATGTTCTGATTAAGTGGAATTAAACTAGAAACCAGTAAAATAAGGTATCTAGAAAAATAACCCATATTATTCATAGAAATTGCACAACATGCTTCAGATAAGAAAAGTGAGTCAAAAAATCCCAATGGAAATTAGAAAACAGTTTGAATGGAACGACAGTGAAAGCATGACATAAAATGTTGTGGGTATACATATTAGTGTAAGAGAAAATTCTATCTCAAGAAGGTAGGGGGGTAAAAAATAACGAATTAAACCCAAATAAGTAGAGCAAAGAAAATAACAGAAAGAAAAAATTAATAACAGGTAAAGTATAACAAACAAAATCAACAAAACAAAAAGTTGAGTTTTGAAAAGATTAATAAAATTGCTAAAGTTACTAAGAGAAAAATGAGAAGATACAAACTACCAATATAGAATGAAAACGGAAAAATCATTATAGATATTGTAAACATTAAAAAGAAGAGATCATGAACAATTTTATGTCAATAAA